TTGATTTATATATAAAAATTATAAAGAATATAGAGTTTATGATGTTTTTAGAGTTTATAAAGATTATAAGAATTATGGAAATTATGAAAATTATGGAAATTATAGGAATTTCCAATCGTAAAAATGTGCATTTGATGGTATTCTTTCTTTGAATCGGCGATAAGCAGTTTGTATGATTCAAGCATATCCATCTTGAGATTTTGGATTATTACATTCATAATTCTAATGATACTTCATCAAATCTGCAGGTTCAATCTTTTCAATATATCTGTAAATAACAGAAGCATATACTTTCTTTGGTTTCATATCATTAACTTCAATCAATTTCCAGTAATCAAGACAAATTGTCATATGAGTTTTGTGAATTCTCAATTTGTAATAGTCATGATTGACTAGCTTAGAATTTCCAAATTCACCATATAAACAGTGTACATGATATATACTTTTTGCTTTTCAGAGACTAGCTCTTGTAAAGGAACTCTGATCCGAATAGCCCATTATTGTGGAGTTTCATTGGGTTGAATAACAGATAAAGTATCATATTGTCTTTCAATCTCAAAGAGTTTATCGAAGAATTGTTGATAATCATTAATTCCATAATAATTGTAAATATATGACTCTATATATTTCATATCATATCCCAGTCTATTATTAATGAGTTTCAGTGATTTAGTTTTTTTATCAATAATAATAGGAATATTAAGACCAGACATATTTATCGATTATATTTAAGGATACTTGCCTAAATTCTTTCAGAAAAATATCATCATAATTTCGACAGGTTACACACTAATTGTTAATTAGAATTTCAACATAATTTCGGTTACAACGGGTTTCAAAATTCGTCAGAATTTTGACAGGTTATTTACTAATAGTTTATTATAATTTTGACAGAATTTAGACAGTCACTAAGGGATTTTGGCAAGTAACCTTAATTATATTGTATTTAGGATATTTAGACCTATTTAATTTAATAACTTTATACTCTAGAATAATGTGATTCAATTTTATGTGAATTAGATTCTCAAACCATCTCTTCAAGAGTATTATATTCGTCATATTTTGTGAGCGAGTATACGACGAGAATGGAAAAGATCCATATTGGGTTATATTTGTAAAAATCTTTATTTAATCCGTGATGATCAGACCTTCTTTAAGGTATCAGATGACTATCCAATCAATTATAATGTGTTATTTTATATCAGGATAATCATTAGTTCTATTTCAGGTGTTAAATCTATTTTGGATATATTATTGCGAAGCAATGAGATTTCACCTCTACAAGCATATCGATATGACAAGCTACAGATATGAAGTGTCATTCTCGTTATTCTATAATAGGTGCTAATTTTCTGGGAAATTTTCTGCTGAAAAGTAATGTGATACATGCATTGTGCAACTGAATACATTTCTCATATCACAAATTTTGCAAACGAATCATGTAGTGCTGATCTGGAATTGCTGATCACGAGCTAGCTAAATTTTGATTCCCAATTCATTAGCTGATAGGTAGTTCATTAACTGTAATATTTTGCTTAACATGAATATTGTTTTATGTTCGAATCTATAATAAAACTACGAATTAATTACTTAGAACAGAATCTAAGGAACCAATGCTGTGATCACATAGAATAATTCGTGTTAAGAGAAGAAATACTCATAAGATGCACAAAGAACTAGGCTAATTCATCTTTGTTTTGTAAAATTAAGATATATTGATTGCCTTTACTATGAGATATAGCAGAGCTAGTATTTGAAACACAGTTTTATGAGCCACAGATATAAAAACGTGCATTTTCTTATTGAACTGGTCCTAAGATACAGAGTAATCCATATTGTAACTTTTTACAATGCGAAATTCACGTAATTTCAAGCAAGTTGCTATAATTTATAATCACAAAATCTCAATCATATCAACCTCGTTACTATCCAATAAAATCAAATTATAAATTATAAGGTGAAGCCCATTGCTTTGCAATACAAACTTATCAGAATGTTCTCAATTACTTCTGATTTTTTACTGCTCGCCAGCTTCATGCTGATTCAAATAATATTTTTATACATCGTAACCTGGTGTAATTCACGGAACACTGAAAGTGATTCGACGTAAAAATAACGGGCTCACTCAAAAAACAATAAAAAATTATCTCTGATTTATTTGAAACCGTAAAACATCTTGGTTATAACATTTGTGAAGTTTGAGATAGGATTGCGAGAAGTAGTAATATGGGATCTGGTACATCCAAAATGTCTCAAAATTATACTGGCACTATTTCCAATCCCTGGGAAAATATTGATATCCTGTTTAAAGAAAAGAAAACTCACGAAAAGCAGTCTATGACGAGATTATATCCAAAGGTAGCTGAAAAAATTTGAACTCTTGTTATCAATCATAAAAAGAGAGTAGTGATCAGTGATGTCACGGTTAGAAATTTTCATAAAAAATTGACTAAAATCTGAAAGAAGATACGCTGAATTCATTAAAATTATAGGTATCAAAACAGAAGGGTGAAATAGATACTGAACCAAAAAGTGAGGAGGGTAAAGAAATAAATGACAATAGCTAGTGCAGGGTAGGGAAAGGAACCGCTATTTTTACTATATAAAAGATTTAGGATCTGATGGATATTTATGCTTTATTTCTCTCTTTAAACATCTCTATCCCCACACTTCTATCTATATAGACCAGCCTTTTACATGCCTCAAAAAAGCGCTTCCATAGGAAGCTTGTAATGTAGTATTTAAAAAATAATTTTACAGATATCAATAAAGATATAATTTGTTATTTTTATTTCGTGTCTTGTAACAGTTAATGTTGGCTATATGATAATTGATCTTATGTCATTATAGATACTATTTGGATTGAATTCTGATATTTATTTGTATAGCAATAAAGGCGATAAGTTTTTTTGCCACAAAATTTGCCACTATCCCAAAAATCCTCTATATGATTTCTTACATTTTCTTTTTTATGGTTTTTATTACATAAAGGACAGGGTACAGATCTATTAAAATCAAAATAATTACTATAGTTAAAACTATGTTTTAGAGTTAAATAAGGAAATCACTCTATTACCATTTTAATAACATGTTGTTGTCTTTCTTTAGAATTGTTTGGTAGAACAGAAATTGGAAATTGTTATTTAGGTAATATAGATAGAACATTTATCTGTGATACTCTCCCCTGAGTTTCCAACGAACTGTCCTTTAGGATATAATTATCAGCATTTTCACTTTGTGGGAATTTAGAAGTTTTAAACTTTATCAAAGGATCAAGTCCAGTCTCTTCTATATATGCTATATAATCTAGAACGAATTTTATCTGTCTGAGAACTTGGTAAATCAACTAAATTAACATGTCATTTGCAATAATCATCAGTTAATATCTTGCTGAAGATAGTATCAGAAGACATGTTATCTTTTATATTAATGCAAGTCAATTCAAAATCACATAGCTGTCAGAGGCAGAGCCTCATTATTTCATAATAGAAAAAAATATCACTATCCACTTGTTCAGGTTTATATAATTATTTACTTATACCATGATCTCAATTTCATGTCCTCCACATTTAATAAAATAGGATGATGCAGAGTATCGAATCTCTGATTTCCCAGCTTTGTATCTACCTTTTATATACTTCTTCCTTCCTCATGACTTTTTTTGCATACTGGACTCCACATGAATTCCATAATAATCAATTCACTACTAAATTCTTTATATAAATCAGAATATCCCCACAATATCTTATTACGAAAATAAGCACAGTCATGGGTCAGATTATTCTGTTTTTTAGGTAAGGTCTTTGATTCAGTTTGAGATTTGAATGGCACATTTACCTCTGCTTTTTGTAAATCTTACTTGGATCGTGATGCAGATGATACATTTATCTCAGTTTCTAATAAAGCCTTTTCAAGACGGACTGTCCTGGAAATTCAATTATATTATCTTCAGAATAAAGATGGCACAGCAAGTACGTGACGCTTATTTGTCACCCGTTGTAACACGTTGCAACTCCAAAATTTTATAAGCCGCAACTAGTTGCAACTAGGTGATGCTTTATTTGTCACCACGTTGCAACAATTGCCGCGCCATCTTTACTTCAGAAGAAACTCCAGGTGTGATTTCAAACGAAGAGGAATTAGAGATTCGACTCTCTGAACTATCTCTTGAATTTGGTCATTAGTAAGTTCCGAGATAGAATTTGCACTATAGTTCTTAATATGTTTGATTTTATCTAGACCTATCTTTTTGAATAACTTATAAATTTTTACAGCTCTTTGAGTTTTTTTGCGCAAGGTATTTCATGATATATTTGGAAATTGTAAGTCCAAATCTTGTGATCATTTTTTACGAAGAATACAGAGTTGATTTTCAATTTCATTATAAATTAAGATTCTTGCTTTTTTCTCACCAATTTTATTTTTACTACTCATCTCACCAACTTGAAATTCAAAATCCCTACCATAAAGAGACCAGCACATGATTTCTTCCTGATTAGCCTTCAAAACTTGATCTTCTGCGCCTATGACTGTATCGCACAACTGAGCTAAATGTTGTGATACATTATTAATGTCGAATAAATTAACAATACATTTTGCAGAACTAACCATGCCCTCAAATTTTTCGGGACGGGCCGTCTCGGAAATTTTGATCTGTCCTGGTTTAATATTTTTTGTATAGAGTGATTCTGTGAACTCGGCTCTAAAGAAGTATTAAACAATTCTTGACGGAGTTTATCTGTTCTCTTTTTCTTATGGCTAACTGAAGATAGGTCTTGATCTCGAAGCTTCTCCTCATGCTTTCTCTGCCTGATCTCATCGCTAACTCTTTTCTTATGCACACCACCCAGGAATTCATCGATCCTCTTATCTTCCAATATCTTGGAATCGGCAGAAGGAACCGCATCATTTATATTACAATTAGGCTTATAATGTTCAAGCCGAACTACTTGAGAATTGGGTACGATAACAACCGTCACTATCTCTGGTATCACTTCCTTAGATGCCTTAGCATCCTCACTCCGTGAGTCATTCTGTGGTTGTCCATCCACTACTACAGAACTCTGTTCCACTACTGCAAGCCTAGCCTCAAGCTCTTTATTCTTTTGCTCTAATTCCTCGACTCTAACATCACGCTTTACATTTTCCTCAATAATCTGCTTCAGCTTCACATTTTCAGATTTAATCTCAGCAAATTTCTTTTCAAGTTCGGGAATCTTGGCATTCTCCTTTCTAAGCTCAGCAATCGTGGCTATGAGCTGAGAATTTAATTCTTGCAACGAATCGATTTTTGATCGAGTGTCTGATATTACTTTATATAGAAAGCACATTTATTCAAAACTTTTTATCAGACATGAACTCTATGACTGGATCGGTCAGCCAAAATCACGTATGCGTTATGCCGATGACTACATTTTTATGTGGCGTATCATGAATTTGATATCGGGGTTTTATTGGTTAACATCAATGCTATTTTACATGTCATATGTTTACATAGTCATCAGCGATCAATGCCTTATTTTTTAGACAGTGGAGTGCGATTCTTGTTCAGTTCTGCTTCAGTCTCAGGTGCAATTCGGCGTCTTTTACCCTTCGTATTTTCTGAAAACAGTTGTTTCACTGTAGTCTCTGTCTCAAGCGATTTATTCTACATTTGATGAGTTAGATATTTGGTGGCAAATTAAATAAACAAAAAGATCAATAACAACATACCTCTAATGATTTAAGTATACAGTATGCGTCTTCCAACATAAAGCAATCGTCTTCATCCGCAGGTATCCTGCATCTATCTATTAACCCAAATCTATAAATTCCAGATCCTGACCAGTCCATCGCGTAGAAATTTAATTCCAGACCTAAAAATAAAATCCATTGGCAAAAGAGCTTTCTGAAACTTTTATCATGTTTCACCTACCGACTTGGAGCCAGCCGTAAACTATTAAACTCGTTCGAGTTTTTTCTGACACGTGCTTACATTCGTTTAACAAACGATTGAGAGTCACGCATTATTATCATTAACTTTACTTTGTCCAAAAACCGCTTTTTTCGACAAGCCATGGGAATTCCTAATGGTCCTAAACCGCCCGCAACTTCCCCGTAAATAACCTCGAATTTATTTGATGTCATGACTAAGGTTGCTTTCATATCTACTTTCCTTCCCATGCGTGCTTTCTTAAACGGATTAGCTTTTTCATTTCGCGCGTCATTTGTCGAAAGAGCCTGAGTTTCTCCCCTAGATACAGAAGTTCACATTCAGTATTAATTTCATAAAAGGAATTAACGCAACTGACTCACCAGACATCCTTAATACGACTTGAATTGAATGCCCCATGGAATAGTGGAAAGGATGACGTCATTTTTAGTTGTTCCTCAGGAAGCATTTGTTGAAACGAATTCATATTAGCTTTCCTATACAACAATACATAGTCAGAATATAATGCCAGATAACCAGAATATAATTCATATTACTTACATAAACTGAACGTGTCTATCAAATTTTCTGAGTTCTTGATCATTATCAACCTTTTCACAATTACTGTCAAAGTAATCTCCGACATTCTTTGTGACAGAGTCGGGTTTCCACTTTATGTGGTCAGCAAAATCCTGAGATAATTGCTGTAAATCATCTTCAGTAAATTCCTTGCATCCGTATAAGCTCTCTCGTTAAATCGAACACTCCCCAATATGCAGGGCTATAGGATTAAGTGATATATTAATAATCAGGCAATGGTCTTTATTCAAAAAAAAAGGCAAACTTACGTATATGCTTGGCGGGTTTTGGGAATTCTGCTTTGATATTTTCGGAAAGCTTCCACCACGTCTTCACGCATATATTGTGATCGACCCTTTTCTCTCATTAATGGTAATTTGTCCTCTTCAGCAAGAGTTTTCTCGTCAATACTTTCCATAAGGGCTTCTTCGTTTGATTCGTCGAACAAGAGTGCCAACCCTTCGTAATCTGTATAATCCGATTGATTGCCCAATTTCCGTTTCGAATTATTATGAGCTTGTCTTGAACCAGTGCTTTTCTCTACTGAAAATGATGATCGTTCTTTCTCGTTCCCCTATAAAATCTTTTCATTTGTGACGAGTAATTTCAAAACAAAACAAAGCACACAATACTCTGTCATAAATAGTTACTTCAGTGTGATAACCATCATTTTCATCTTTTTCGCCATCGACATCACCAACTAGAGGACCTAAATTTTAAGGTTTTCAAAAATAAGTTCGACCCTAGTCGTAAATCTTTCACAATAAAACTTGTATTACTTTCTTACCTATAGAATCTCAATAAAATTTAATCTTTGATTATTTAATAATTTGTGCGCTTCGTTCCCTGCCAGTGAATGTTCCACTACAAACTCGGCCTACAGATAAGAAAAATAGCAACAAAATTAATAAGGCTTTTGCAAAATACGTGTATTCTCATAGCGTCACATGCCCTTGTTAGTTTTATATCCATGTCCTTCTGCTTTAGTTCAGTTTTCTTCTTCTCCAGAATCGCATTTGACAATTTCTGAGATATTTCCAGATCAACCTCCAGCCAGAACGCTTTAACATTTTCAGTTTGTGCTTGATCCTTAAGAGAAATGTAAGAGTTGAGTAGAAACAGAAGTTGAAAAATATATTCAGGCTCTCCCGAATTTGTTGTTACAATAAATCTTGTAATTTTGTATGGAGCCCACCGGATATAATAACCCATTCCTAGCCCGATGCGTAACCAGGCCACTTAGGTGGTTGTTTCGACATAATAGCCCAACCCCATACAGATTTGGAAGAAGCCCACCGGATATAATAACCCATTCCTAGCCCGATGCGTAACCAGGTCACTTAGGTGGTTGTTTCGACATAATAGCCCAACTTCTTCCAACTACCCTTTGCATCTAAACATCAAAATAAATACTTGCCCTTAGAGTTTTATTAAGAACGGAAGTAGATATCCTCCACCTTTCGTCTGCTGTGTTCGTTGTGACGTATGACAAGAACTTGGATATCGTTAAATGTTCGGTGTGCTTATCGAAAGAGAAGTCATCTTTTCCTCGACGAAAATTTAGGACGGAAATGAGGCTGAGACTTTCGGGATCCAAGTCCGTTTCCCAACCTTCAAACTGTGGTCATAGTTTACCATTTTTCAAGGAAAGAAAAGGTGAAATACAGGGGATCAAAAAGCAAATATTTAAAACTTCCAGCTGTTCAATGCTCACTTTCTTTTCGAAAGCGGTGCCATTTGTTTTATTAGTTCTGACGGTGGACATTGTATACTTGGAGAAAATTTTTTTTGGGGATACAGTATATACTGTATAAGGAATCGATTGTGACACATGGTTTTTGTTAAAGTGTGACGGATAATAAATATAAAATGAAAAAATGACTTGTTAGTGGTTCGCAATTCTGTATTAGTTACATAGCCTTCAGAACTCGGGTTATCAATAATCAAAAATCACGTGTGAAAGATTCATTTCTTTATTAAATTACAAGTACATGTGAAGCGGGAAATCTATCTACGCAAATAGGTAGGAATAAATATGATATACGTGAACCAGACTAGATACGATTCGCAATTACTTTATTTTATTATAGAGCAATGAGGCTCCGCCTCTACGAAAAAAACATCTCGAATGCGGTGACTAATGCAAGTAATAAATTTGCAAATTATACAGAAAATTATTCTTCGGGGGAAAGAGGAGGGTGAACAAAAATATGGATCCAATCTTCATTGGGATTCTCGGGAAAATAAACAGAAATATCATTTTCTGGTTGCAT